CCCTCCGCCGGCCATACCGGTGGCCCACACGCCGTCTCCCCAGGATTCGGCCTCGCCGACCAGCTCATGCCAAAGGGACAAATCCTGCTCATCGATATCGCCTGACTCCAGGTCCTCGCCCATCGGGGGACCAAGACACAGATGGTAGGAATCCTCCTGACTCCCCCCCTTATCTGACTGTACTGCGAGAGTGTCGGGCACCGGAGCCGGCCCGCCGGGTCTGTCTCCCTGCTCCCAGCGCCGGATCCTTTCGGTGACCGAAGGGTCCGCCAGCTCCTCAGTGGGAGCTCGTCCGCCGGCCCCCTCGGCGGGGGCAGGTCCACCGGCCCCTTCGTAGGGCCCCCTGGCTCGCGCAGCTCTCGGCATTGAGACGGAACGCAGCGGCTTGCCTCTCCACACGACCGCCCTGGGCTGGCCCTCGACGTCCTCGCGAACAGGACTCAAGCCACGTCGCCTGGAAAGGGGTGGCTCGCTCTCGGCAGCTGGAGCTTCTCGGGGAAGCTTGACTCGATCAGAACTCTCGAACTCTTGCCGCATCAGAGTCTCAGCTTGATCCGTCACCGAGGGGGGACCGGAGGCGGCGCCCTCCCTAGGGCAAGAGGAAGGAGCAGTGGGCGGGCAGGAAGACGGCGAAGCCTCCGGACGCTCTCCGATGCCCACGGGTCCGTCCGACGGGGTCCGCGGAAGGTCGGCGCCGTCTCCGCTCGACCCGAGGCCCTCGGCGCGTGGATGATCCGAGACCGACCGCCCTCCGCCCACGTCACAAGCTGGCAGAGACGGATCCAGGGAGCGACATTCGCTCACTGACGGGGGTGGCACAAGAACGGGGTCTGGCGACTGCGGCGCAGACTCGGGAGGAGAGTCCCAGGCCTCCTCGGGGGGGGCCCCCTCGCTCTCGACGTCGAGCGCTCCCACCTTGCGGCCGGGGTCCCTCGCCTGCTCTCGCAAATCACGAAATTCGGGACTGTCGATCAGTTCCGCCCCGAGAGATTCGGCGCGAGTGGCTTCCCTCACCTGTTCCACACTGCACTTCCACAGCTTGGTGCGCATCGCCACCCACACCGTGGACCCTCGATGGGTCACGACGGCCCCGGGACCCACCCATCGATCTCTCTGGATCGAATGGGTCTTCAAACCCACCGCTTTCCGCCAAACGAAAACCCACTGCCCCGGGAGAAATACCCGGTCCACGTGCTGACGCGAACGTGCAGCCTCCTTGAGCCGCGACTGGGCCTCACCGGCCATCAGGGCCTGCGAGCCTCTTCTCGAATGCGATGCTTGCGAGCGAAGTTGCCTGCCACCGTATCCCAGCCGTCGACGTCAGCCTGGACGTCCTCCGTCCCGATAGCGCCCATGCCGTCGTCACTTAGCATGGCCCTGGGCAGCCCGGGGTTCTCTCCCAGCACCAGCTGATACGGCGAGAAACCCGACCTGTGGAAGTATCGGTTCTTGGCGGAGACGGTTTCACACAAGATCAGATCGACCTCTTCTGGCGTAGTCGGATTCACGATCAGCGAGGCACGAGCGACCGACTCCTTGATCCACCCCCCGTGACGCTCGCACCTCCCGTTCTGCCACGGGCTCGTGGCGTCGCAGACGTGCTGGAAACACCCGAGGTGTTCACAGCCTCGCTCGAAGGCTCCTTGGAATTCGGGGCCTCCGTCGCTCATGACGACCTCCGGAGGTCCGAAGACTCGAATCCAGGTCTTTTCGAACGCCGCCCAGACGTTGGCAGACGAGGTACCGCGATGCATAGGCAGAACGTAGCATTGCTGGAAACTCGTGCCGTGATTGAGCACGTTACGCACCGGAACCTGGGAGCCCAAGACGCTCAAGTAGAACAGGTCCACAGCAACCAGACGGTTGAAGTGGTACGTGCGTGGGACCGCAGCTTTTCGTCTCCAGGAGGGTTTCTTGTTGCCTTCGCAGGCCTCACACTTGAACTCCCGACGCACGTAATCGATGATGGCGGGCCGTGCTCTGGCCACCGTGAGCAGCCGGACAAACGCATCTCGAGGCGGGTGCCCCATGTTGACATGCACTTTCAAAACTTGGCTCCTCTGCTCTCGGCTGAGAGACGATCCGACTGCCTCAGCCTCCTCCTCTTCTCCTGCCGGTCGGCCGCTCTCCTCCTCCTCCTCAACCTCCTCATCCTCCTGGGCCTCAGCCTCTGCCAAGGGATCCGCGGGCTCCGACTCGATCGCCCCGACGAGGCCGGGGAGGTCCGTCTCGACTCCGGGGTCGAGGATCTAGTCGATCTCTGGTTCGAGAACCCCCGAATGACCGAGCGCACGGGCGTGAGCTGTCTCGAGGATGCCCTCGCACATAGCCCACACCAGGGGAGGCGGATACACTTGCGCCTTCCGGGTGTTGGAGCCTCCTACGAGCTGATGATGGGTGCGGTCCCCGGGACACTTGCGAAGGAGGGGGGCCAGCAGCGACGGTCGATTGCACAGGAAACGGGTGGGCTTTCGGTTGGGCCCCTGACCGCCCACGTCGAGACCGTACTGGCACTGGTCGCATTCTCCTACGACCACCCCTGGAAGCTGGCTGAGAAGGTGCACCGATTCCAGCTCCCAAGAACTCGCCCCCCGGGGGTGTTCCAACAAGAACGCTCTGCCACAAGCGGCCTGGATCAGAGCAATCTTCACGCAGAAGTGCATGAAGGTTACTCCTTTCCTCTCGGACTCTTCTCTGCGTTCGGGGGACATCCTTGACCAGGCCGACTGGCGGGGGGCAGAAAACGCTTTACACTCGGGGCTCATTACGACGACCTCTGGGCGATCTCGCCTGACGGCCCTCTCGGCCGCGGCTCTACCCTTCTCGGAGTACAGATCCCAGCCCGTGCTGAGGTCCATACTCGCCGAGGTCGCGAAGCCTCTCTCACGAAGCTCCTTACAAACCCGGGGAGGTGAGAAAAGCTCCATAGCCAAGGTGCGCCCCTCCTTCCTCAACCACTGCTGAATCCGCCTCTTTCGAGCCTTGCGTCCCTGCTCTCGGCCAGAGTCGCCCAGCAGCTTTCCGGTGGCTTCACGAACCTCCCTCGGAACCGAACAACCCCGACTGAGGTCATGGTCGACGTTAGGATCGACTGGGACGTGGAAGGACCCTAGAGACAGAAGGCCCTGAAAAGAGTTGAACCCCTCCGGTCCGGTCCAGGCCTCGATGGTCAGGTGGTCGCTGGCCGTGTTGCTCAGGATGGTCTGTGACTGGGCTGGCGCGAGGTCTGGAGTGAGGGAGTCAAGAATGGGGATGCTCTCATCTAGAAACTTCAAACGAGCATACTTGCTCACTCTATCCCGAAAAGCTCGACCCCCGCTGTCTCGGTCGGACCCCTGAGTCCCAGGCTCCGTTCCCCGGACCAGGTGTATCGCAGCATCAGCCAGCACTCCGACCTTCTCGCTTTCTTCCAGGATCGATCGAGTCCAACCGCGATCACTCGAGATCTGATCGAGATCGACCGAGCACCCTTTACTGTCGTCCCACCAGGCGGCGTGAGACTCAAAACGGAAGTTGAGATGGGCGGACCTACTGGCGGCCTGAGCCGACCTCCACGCCAGATTTCTGCCCTGCTCCTCGGTCCCGTTGGTCCTCCGGAGGGTCCCCCTCCCCACTGGTTTCAGGTTTCCCCCGAGTCCTTCCCCCACCTCCAGAGCGCCTGTGGAGGCGGTCGCGTCCGGCGAACTCAGCGACCGCGGCTCGAGCTGCTGCTGCTGCTCGCCGGCATCTTCACGGCCTCCGCCATCTGCTGCAGCACCTGGTTGTTCTCCCGCAGCGCACGGGCGATCTCCGCGTTCTCCACCGTCTTCGAGGCCTCCTCCACCGTCTCGGGCTCCGGCTTCTTCTTCTTGAGAACCTCCTTGATGTAGACCAGCTCCGGCTTGATCGTCAGCGGCGTGGACTCCACCCTCGCCTGGTTGCGGTCCCCCTGCTCGTTGCGCCGCTGCTGTGCACGATTCAGGACGTCGATCTGCTCCATCCGGCTGCGGCGCTCGATCCACAGCCTTGACTTGCACTTGCGGCAGTGCTCGTACTTCGCGTACTGGTTGGCCCCCTTCAGCCTCGCCCACTGCGGATGGTCGCACTCCAAGGCTGCCTGTGGGACCATCTCGCCCACGAGGAGGTTGGCCGCCATCATGGCCATCCTGGCCCCCATCGTGTACACCAGGCGTCCGACAACGCGATGCCAAGCCGCCAGAGTAAGGCTCCTCTTGACCTGGCCCGCGGTCTCCTTCGTGTCCTGCTCCTGGTCGCTCTCGTCCGTCATCATGCCCACCGCCTCCCACTCCGGTGAGCTCTCCAGGTGGGAGCTGGGTCCGCTGGGCCCCTGCGAGCCCGCCTTGTTCCTCTTCGCCTTGCTGATCGCCCTCTGGCGCACCTGGTGTGCGCGGACCTCCTTCGCGAATGACGACCCCTTGACGTTCTGGATCGTCATCTTCTTGACCGGCGCCGATCGCGTCGGGCTTCCCTCCTGCACTGGTGATGCCTCCGCTGGTTCCGCTGAGCCCGACGATACCATGGCTTGAATCGAACTTGGATGAGTCGCGAAGCGGCCCGCAGGCCTCGGTAGCCACCTGACTTCTGAACCCGCGGGCAGCGCTGTTGGTCTCGAGCACGAGGGCTGCGGACAAGTCTTTTCCCATCGCCTCTTCCGAGTGGACCCTGGACGGGGCTCTCGCTTCTTCGCCAGTTTCTGGAGCAGCCTCCTCGACCTCCTCCGCCTCCTGATCTGCCTCCTCGATCTCCTCCGCCGCCTGCCTCTCTAGCTCTGTCCTCCTGGCTCGCCCGGGAGATGCTTCCTGAGAGACCTGGCTCGTCCCCTGGACCCGGGCACCGCCCCCCAGGACGTTGTCCCCAGGCCTCCCTGGGACCGCCGAGCCCCAGACCTGACGTCGATCGGCCGAGACCTCTAAAAAACCGACACACCCTACAAATCTTACAGCTCTTGAGGGGGTGGAGGTGAGTGAGGGGCGGAAAGGGGGTGTATATGCACAAAAGTCCTTGGCCTCGAGACCGGGCCAGTCCTCGGCAGCCGACGCGTCCACCTCAAAACGGCGAGGGGGAAGACTGCCGAGCAGGCTCATGATGCGGTGCCCCGAGCTCTCACGGTGCATCGGCAGCGTCACGTCGTCCAGCTGGATGCGGTCGCGCCCCAGGTCGATCTTCGCTCCCACGGACTCCAGCCACTTCACCGGCAGCAGCAGGGGAACCTCGCCGGAGATGATCTTGAACTGGATCAGCACGCACTTGTTCGGGATAGCGGTGATCGGGATGAGGGCTTCCCCGATGATGTCCGCACTGCCTCCGACTCCGCGGGCCTTCTTCGGCTGCGGACTCCGCCTGATGGGAATGCGTCATCCCCGCTTAGCATAGTCATTCACGAGGCGCTCGAGCCGCTTGTCACCCACCAGCGCCTGGCCTGCAGCCGTGTCGATCATGCCGGAGGGCTCCACGTCCTCATGCATCAGCCACGAGTCGGGGATCCCCCTCATCGAGCCGCACAGCCTCTGAATCACCTCCGGCCCGAGGGTCAACCACGTCGTTGCCGAGGGACCGTCCGTCGTCACGTACATAGTGCGGCCTCCTGGCTTGGCCTCGGCCTTGGGCTTGGGCCGGTATGCATTCGTACACTCACGTCTCCAGTGTCCGCGTTGTCCACAGTTCGCGCAGCGAGTGCGCGCCTTGAGCTTCTCAATGCTTAGCTTCTGCTTTCCAACTCCTACACGAGGAGCTGGCTTCTTCCCGGCCCGCTTGCTGTCGAAGAACTCCCGGTCCCTCGCCATCGCTCGCTTCAGGTCCTTCGCCTCGGCCCACCGCCTCGGACGACCTTCCTTCTCGCGCTTCTCGTCCAGCACGGCCGCGACGACGCTCGCCAGCTGCCCCTCGTCGAGGTCCTGGGACTCCACCGCCGCGTACACCGCCTCGGCGTCGACGATGTCCAGGATGGAGTCCTCCCAGAACTCGACGAGCACGAGGTCGGACATGTCGTCGTCCTCGCCGTAGTCGTCCTCCTCGTCGGCCGCCGCGAAGGTCTTGCCCTGCCTCCGGGTGGCGTCTGGCTTGCGTCGCACGTCCATCCTCATGAGGGCCTTCTTCACTGAGTCCAGATCCTCGCGGCCCTGTGAGATGGACAACAAGTTTATCATGTTCTGTTCGCTTAGCCGAGCTCCTGCCTTCAGTTGTTCGACCTGAACCCTCTCTGGGAGGTCCAGGCCGAACTTGCGTGCTTCTCGCACCTCCATGTCTCTGCGAATGACGAACTGAGTCAGAGTTTCGCCACTGCGCATCTCCGTGTTCTCCAGCGCTCGCTCGAAGGCCTTCTTGGACTGGTCGTCCTCTCGGTCTCCTCGAGCCTGCTTCAGGTAGCCTATCAGCACCTCCAGACCTCCAGGACGGTCCAGGTCCTCTTGGATGTGCATCAGCTTCTCCTGGAGTTCGACTGGAAGCTCATCCACAACTCGACCAGCATGGGCTTCTGAGGAAAGTGCCGTCCTTCTCGACCACCTCTGAATGCTCAGCACCCACGTGTCGAGCCTGTCGAAGCCCTGCCACTGCTGCGGGCCCTGGTTGTCGCCACGGACGCCCCCGGCCGGCGCCGGCGGAGGCGGATGCCAGGAAGCGGCGGCCGACGCCCCGCCCCAGGGCTGCGCCGCCGAGGCCGCGCTCGCCGCCTCGGCCGCTAGGGCCGCCGCGGCCGGCGCCGTGCCTGCGAGCTCCGCCGGCGGTGCCCATGGCGCCGCTGTCCCGACCGACTGCGCGGGCGGCGCAGCTGGCGCCGGTGGAGCCGGCGGCGCGGGCGGCTCGAACGTCTGAGTGGCCACCTCCTGCGCCGCGGCCGCCTGTGACCCCGCCGTCGCCCAGGTCGTCGGCGCTCCCCACCGTGGGAGCGGGGGGGCCTGCGGGGCGCTCTCGGCCCCTCTCGTCTCCTCGACGCCTGGCCACAGGGTGACGTACGTGCCAGCGGCTGCGCTGGCGGTCGCCCTGCCCTGGGCCCAGGGATCACTGTCTTCTCGCTGCCATGGATCTGGTCGGCTCCAGTCCTGCCAGCCTTGCCAGACGTCCCACCAGCCAAACCATGAACGGCTCCCTCCGGAGCGACTCCAGTCGTCCCTTGACTGAGATGTCGCCTCGCCGCCGTTCTCGGGCTGTGCTGCTGTCTGGCCGCTCTGCACTTCTTCTGGCACGGGCGTTGGGCCCTCGTCCCCAGGGTGGTGTGGTGCCTGGCCAGCTGCCAGGGGCTCCTCCTCTCTCTCTCCGTCTCGCGCTCCTCCTGCCCGTCCGGGATCACTCTCGGGACCAGCTCCGCTTACCATTGTCCGCTGAGCATCGGAGTCACGATGGTCGAGTTGGGGGCTAGGATAGATGTGGGGGAAAGAGAGAAAACAAGGGGAGCACCCTTTTGCTCACACACACGCACTTGAGCCACAACAGTTGCAGTCACGGCAAACATCACAGTAGCATGCCGAGCACAATGAGCTCAGAGGGTGACGTGCTGAGGATATGTACGACAGGGGGGCTCGAAATCGACACCCTTCACGCAGATCCGCGGGGTCAGGGTCCAAAAACACACGGGATTTGCCACATTTTAGAAATTCGGTGCCACCCCTCACGCAGATCCGCGGGGTCAGAGTCCACAAACACAGGGGATTTGCCACATTTCTGAAATTCGGTGCCACCCCTTACGCAGATCCGCGGGGTCAGGGGTCAAAAACATACGGGATTTGCTACATTTCTGAAATTCGGTGCCACCCCTCACGCAGATCCGCGGGGTCAGGGTCCAAAAACACATTGGATTTGCCTCATTTCTGAAATTCGGTGCCACCCCTCACGCAGATCCGCGGGGTCAGGGTCCAAAAACACAAGGGATTTGCCACACTTCTGAAATTCGGTGCCACCCCTCATGCAGATCCGCGGGGTCAGGGGTCAAAAACATACGGGATTTGCCACATTTCTGAAATTCGGTGCTACCCCTTACGCAGATCCGCGGGGTCAGGGTCCAAAAACACAGGGGATTTGCCACATTTCTGAAATTCGGTGCCACCCCTCACGCAGATCCGCGGGGTCAGGGTCCAAAAACACAGGGATTTGCCACATTTCTGAAATTCGGTGCCACCCCTCACGCAGATCCGCGGGGTCAGGGTCCAAAAACACAGGGGATTTGCCACATTTCTGAAATTCGGTGCCACCCTTCACGCACATCCATCGCAAGGCGTGGCAACCCAAACTGCGAGAACTCCCTCGGCCCTTTAATCGCAAGGTGTGGTAACCAAGCCCGTAAACCATACACGTCTTACCAATCGCCAGGTGTGGTAACCCCTCTTGTGATCAGTTGGTTTTGCTGATTGCGAATCGGCTTCGCATGAAGTTTCGATGCTGCTTCACGACAGCGCCAAGGCCTCATGACTTAGCTCTTCCATGGCCCATTCTCCGACAGAGGGGGCCGGCGGCAGGGGGCGAAGCCCTTACGGATAATGGGGCCCGGGGGATCAGTTGGCATCGGGGCGGGGAATCAAGGTCGCCTAAGTTCACGCATCCGCCCCGCGATGCGCGATTATCTTCACGCCCTCGCGCCGCCCCCTTGGAGAAGGGCAGCCGCTCTGGCCCGCAGCCGCGGCGCGCAGAGCGCGGTTGTCATCGGAGCCCATGGGTGCCTCAAAATGTGCACCAGCTTTTGAGCACCAGGCCTGGATCCCCGAACCTTTCGGCATCCCCGTGCGGCTGGGCGACGTGAGGCGGAGGAGGAGGAGAAGGAGGAGTAGAAGGAGGAGGAGGAGGAAGAGGAGGAGGGGGTGGAGGAGGAGGAGGAGGAGGAGGATGAGGAGCAGGAGGAGGAGGGAGAGAAGGAGGAAGAGGAGGAGGAGGAGGAGGAGGAGGAGGACGACGACGATGCGGAGGGCGAGGATGAGGAGGGGAAGGAGGAGGAGAAAAACATGTGGGAGAGGGGGGTGATGATGCTGGTGATGATGATGATGCTGATGATGGTGATGATGATGCTGATCACGATGATGATGGTGGTGATGGTGGTGGTGATGATGATGATGATGCTGCTGATGATGATGCTGATGTTGATGATGATGATGATGATGATGATGATGATGATGATGATGATGATGATGATGATGATGATGATAAGATGAGGGTGACGCTGATGAGGGTGATGATGATGATGATGATGATGATGATGAGGGTGGTGGTGATGATGATGGTGATGATGAGAATGGTGATGATGATCAGTATGATGATGCTGACGACGGTGATGATGACGATTATGCTGATGGCGATGGCGATGATGGTGATGATGATGCTGGTGATGATAGTATTGGTGATGGTGCTGATGTGATGGCGCTGATGGTGGTGGTGGTGACGAGGATGATGTTGATGATGGTGATGTCGAGGACGGCGGCGATGATGGTGATGATGCTGATGCTGATGATGATGATAATGATCATGATGGTGACGATGATGATGCTGATGGTGATGATGACGGTGATGATGACGGTGATGATGATGATGATGATGATGATGATGATGATGATGATGGTGGTGGTTGTGATGATGATGCTGCTGATGGTGATGACGAGAATGCTAGTGATGATGATGGTGACGATGCTGAATATAATGGTGATGCAGATGATGATGCTGATGATGCTGATGATGGTGGTGCTGATGATGGTGGTAATGATAATGTCGATGATGATGCTATTGTTGATGGTGGTGATGCTGAGGACGATGGGGATGATGATGATGGTGATTATTATTGTGATGATGCTGCTCACGATGATAATTATGATGATGGTGCTGATGATGCTGATGATGTTGAGGATGCTGATATTTATGTTGCCTTTGGTGCTGATGATGCTGAAGCTGATGTTGCTGCTGCTGAGGAGGTGGAGGAGGAGGGGGAGGGGGGGCAATCAAGGAGACGATGAGGAAAACGCGGAGGCGTTGGAGGACGCCATCTCTACGCTTGGCTGCTCTCGAGCCAGATCGGTCCGCGGGGGACGAGGCCCGAGGCTCCATGCGGTCCATACCGTGACAAAAACAGCCTTGGCGACTTCTAACCCATGCGTCCATGAATGAATCGAACGAGGCGCGCGACAGTGTCAGCGGCGCCTGGACAGGAACATCAGCTCTCAGGAGCGTCGAGCTATGCCCCCAGCGAGCCAGTCGTTATCAGAAAGAGGCTCGGGCGCTGCATAGCTTCTCCCCCGTACCCGGAGGTTGGGCGCGAACTGATGGGGGGGATAAGTTTAAGTCGGGCCTGTCCCTCTACTGGAGGAATATTCACAAATAGTCAGAACATAGTCTGAGCGCGTTTTTTTTAATTATTGTTGTGTTAATCTGGTGTATTTCCCAGCCATCCTGCGGTGTTGGGTCCTCGTTTTGAAGAGACAGCGCCCCGCGTTCACTCCCGCTGCCCACTCCCTCCTCCCTCATCCCATCCCTGCCTCTGCCCTCCGCATGTCCACCGGTGCACCCCTCACACGTTTCGTGACCCCATAGGGAGCTCCACCGAGGGCCCCAGTGGCAGCGCCCGCATGCAGTTCCACCCCCATCTTGGCGCACCGCTCGCACGTTTCGTGGCCCCATGGGGAGCTCCACCGAAGGCCCCAGTGGCAGCGCCCGCATGCAGTTCCACCCCCCTCTTGGCACACCGCTCGCACGTTTCGTGGCCCCATAGAAAGCTCCACCGAAGGCCCCAGTGGCAGCGCCCGCATGCAGCTCCACCCCCGTCCTGGCACACCGCTCGCACGTTTCGCGGCCCCATGGAAAGCTCCACCGAAGGCCCCAGTGGCAGCGCCCGCATGCAGTTCCACCCCCATCTTGGCGCACCGCTCACGCGTTTCGTGGCCCCACAGGGAGCTCCACCGAAGGCCCCAGTGGCAGCGCCCGCATGCAGTTCCACCCCCATCTTGGCGCACCCCTCACACGTTTCGTGGCCCCATAGGGAGCTCCAACGAAGGCCCCAGTGGCAGCGCCCGCATGCGGTTCCACCTCCATTTTGGCGCACCACTCAAACGTTCCATGGCCCCATGGGGAGCTCCACAGATGGCCCAAGTGGCAGCGCCTGCATGCAATTCCCCCCCCCTCTTGGCACACCCTTCACACGCTTCGTGGCCCCATAGGGAGCTCCACCGAAGGCCCCAGTGGCAGCGCCCGCATGCAGTTCCACCCCCATCTTGACACACCCTTCACACGTTTCGTGGCCCCATAGGGAGCCCCGTCGAAGGCTCCAGTGGCAGCGCCCGCATGCAGTTCCACTCCCATCTTGGCGTACCCCTCAGACGTTTCGGGGCCCTACAGGAACCCCCACCGAAGGCCCCAGTGGCAGCGCCCGCATGCAGTTCCACCCCATCTTGGCGCACACCTCACACGATGCGTGGCCCCATAGGGAGCACACTCGCACGTTTCGAGGTCCCATGGGGGGCTCCGCCGAATGTCCCAGTTGCAGCGCCCGCGCGCAGTTCCCCACCCCACACACCTTGGCGCACCCCTCACGCGTTTTGTGGCCGCCATTTGCACCACCCAGCGCGCCATCATTGTCGCGGCGCGCTACCTGTAAGGAAAAGGTCGCACCCTGCATTACTCGCAGCTGCTTATGGTTGGGTCCTTCGCCAGGCTATTGTTGAATATTTTGGATGTTTCGCCCAAGATCCGCCCGTAGGGGGACGCGCCCGACCCAACGATAAGTGGGGGGGGAGAAGGGTGCCCTTTTCGGATGCGAAAGGGCCCCTTCGAGGACCTAAAGGGCCCATGGAGGGGCCCTAAAAAGCCCCTTTTAGGCAGCCCTCGCCGCGCACCCCTCCTCCTCCTCCTCCTCCTCCTCCTCCTTCTCCTATTCCTCCTCCTCCTCCTCCTCCTCCTCCTCTTCCTCCTCCTCCTCCTCCTCCTCCTCCTCCTCCAACCCCCCAAATATCGCCCCCTCCGACCCCCACCCCTCCTTTTGGCACAGTCAACCCGCACAGCAAGGATGGGCAGCCTTTCCATGATCACCATCATCGCCATCACAACCATCATAACTGTCACCACCACCACCATCACCATCATCACCATCATCATCATCATCATCATCATCATCATCATCAT